CAGATCTGCACGTTTTTGGGGACATCTCTGCTGTTGTCAGGAGCTTGAGCATTGTCAGGGTCACCTGCTGCCCTTGAAAAGAATGTGGTTAATTAGAGAAACTCACTTTCTCCTCGTTACTGCCAGATCATTTAATTAGTTACAGCTAGGCAGCTGAAATTCCTGATCCATGGTTTATTTACATAAAGCTCTTTCAAGGTTTTCAACATTCCACCCAGCAGAAGAAATGGAGAAATTCATTTTGGTGAGACAGATCCTCTGGTGCCTTTTGTGAAATGGAACTGATGAAGTAGCAAAGTTTTATTTCTTTCTTTTTACTGCTGAGGATTTTACTGATTGTGGCTCAGAGTTGAGTATGAGAGTGGAATGGTCAGGGAAGAAGAGGAATGAGGGAGGGAGGCAGAGAGAACTTAACAAAATTGGGGTTTAGGGTAAGGTTAAGGAAAAAAAATCCCACACCCAAACCAGAAAGCACAAGGCAACAGGTGAGAAAAGGGGCTAAAGTCAGAAAAGTTGGCTGAACACTGAGGAATGTGTGGAGCCAGAGCTGCTAATGGGAATCAGGAGTAGGATAGGATTTGGGAATAAATCTCATGGGCAAGTAATCTGTATTTGTTTTTTCCAAAGGAAGGTGTATTGAAAAGGTACACACCTAGAATAAATTATTTTTCAAATTTCAAGCCCTAATTGCATAAGAAATTATACTCATTAATGAGAATTGCATTCTAGAAGCCATTCAGAAACTAAAATGGAAAGATTATGTGCTGAATTTGTATATTTTTGAGTCTGGTCTTCATGCTATTTTTTTTCCCTTAGTTTTTAGTTTTTAAGTGTTGTGGATTTAAGGAGGAGTCTGTAGTGCTAGAGTCTGGTATTTCTTCAGTCACTGCAGTCAGCATCTGCAGCTCCTTGGGAGCAAACTGCCTGTAGCACTGACATTTCATCTTCTATTAAGGGCTGAGATCTACTTAGTGTCATTTTTACTGTACTAAGGGAATTTAGAGAAGACCTGGAAACACAGTGTATGTGAGCCTTGCTCACAAATGATGATGATGCTTTGTGTTCTTCTATGGAAGTTTTATTTTCCTTTACATAGAGAATATAATGATTGTATCTCTGCAGGTGGGCCCTTATATCTTTGATTTATAGTTCCTGAACATGTTCTTGGTCTGAGATAATTCTTCAGCTAAAATTTTATTATTTGCCACACAGAAGTCTGAGCACTTTTTTGGGGGACAAATTTTCTTGTGTCTGGGATTCAGTCAACCATCCCTCAGTTGAGAGAAAGGGCTGAGCACCATATTTCACTTGCCAGCACAAGAAATGCCCTTCACACAGCTTTCCCCCCATTCATTTCTCTATTTAATTTGTCATTGTCTGTTTTGGACTTTTCTGTTCTCAGTAACATTCCAGCTTCTGCATGAGTAGCAATAATCTATAGAATTAGGTGGAAATTCTCTTTAGATTTGATTTTGCTTCTGTGGAGGAAGTACTGTGGAAGTAGTTCAGCAGAAATAGTTGTTCTGAGCTGTGGATTGCAATTAAATTGGCAATTACAAATCAGTATTAGAGGTGTTGCTGCTCAGAGTCACCACTGAGGTGTTGGCAGGTGGGAACTGACTGGTGCCAGTGAGTGAGGAAACTTTAGCTCCCAATGGTTGCTTTTCATTTGTGGCATCAAACCTCAGTTCCTTTCTAACTTTGCTTTAAATTTTATTATGAGTCAACAAACTGGTGCCAGCTGAAAATACGTTGAGGAAAAAAAGCATGAAAAACCAAACCAGCAATTTTGGATAGTTTATCTGCAGAATGTTTCTGGTAGGTGTCATTGATAGTGGGTGCTCTTGGTTAAGAATCTCTCATTTGGAATTTAGATGCAGAAACATTTTTGTTTCCTTTTCTTCATCAATAGAAGGAAGGACCAATGAAATCATAAAAAAATTTATCAAGCCAAAGCCATCACAGTAAATATTTACTGTTGAGTTTCCAGAATGGAGCTCTGCCTTAAAAACAAGAATCCCCCAAAGTCCACAGGTTTCTGAATTTCAGATGTGTTCAACATCTGAAATTATCAATATTCTTTTCCTGCCTGCCCTGTAAGCCTGGTGCACTCTCTCCTTCCTTCCTTTTGTTTTTTATAAATAATCTACAGGAAGAATGGTGTTCACATTCTGCCATCTCATTTTCAGTCTGCAGTGATGCAATTTGGAGAATTCTAAGTGATGCTATTTGGATTTGTAAGGATGAAGAGAATCTGCAGCTCAGGCTGTGATTTCTGCAGGTTTCACAAGGAGTCAGGGTACAACATTATTTAAATTGGGGGCCGTAGCATTTGGGCCATTCTCTGCAGGTGCTGTGGGAGGGAGTGGTAAATTATTTGAAATTTGTAGGTTTATGAAAGTGTAGGATTTTCTTTTTCTATCACTGAGATGGAAAATAAATCTTTCATATTATAGGTGAAGTAATATTTGAGGTTTTAAAGGAGATTGAATTTTGTTGTAGTTGTTGTGGGGTTTTTAAAATATTTTTTTCTGGTCATATTACATAAATCCTAAGCAATGAAACTTTCTCTAACCACCTGAAGGCTCCTGAAAAAAAATTATTTCCTTCTGTCATGCTCCTCCCCTGCACATCCATCTACAGTCCTGATGTGAAGTGTGCCTGATGTTTTTTCTTTGTGTGCACATGCACATTCATAGACACCTGCAAACCATCATGGCCAGAGAAAGAACAGAGGTTTGGGTGCTCTGCAGTTGTCAGAATCTCCTGTCTCCTCAGTCTTTACTGTGCCCAGTTAGATCTCACATTCTGGGTGGGAAGGGATGTCCTGCTGCTGTCTGGATTAACAGAAGATGGTTGGGTTTCCTTTTCCTTGTTCTTGCCAGTGGGATTTCAGGAGACACAGCATCATCAGCAGGATTTCCCCCACAAATTCCTCACTGCAACAAGGACCAAAATTATGATGGTGCCCTTAAACCCTCCTGCTCATCAGTGGCACATAATAGTTGTGGTTTTAACCTTTTTTCTGGAGGTTTTTCACTTGGTCTAGGATGGAAAGGAGTTTGAATCTGGAATAGTGATGCTCTGTGACCTTTCAAGCTGAAATCTGTTGTGTGTTTACCTGTAATGACACAGGGCTGGTCCTGTTAAGCAGCTTTTTTCCATGGTCCTGTGCAGAGGGAACCATGGAGCTTTTCCCAGCAGGACTCTGTGGACAGCAATATTATATTATTAATATATTATTACAGCAATAATGCAGAACATGCACAGAGTTTTCACCATGCCCTAATTGAAATTGAAGTCCATTCTCACATTGCAACGTAAGTAGTGTCAGATCCCTGTACTTACAGAGCCTGGCTCTGATTTTTATGAAATGGTCCAGCTGGTTAATTAGGATGAAGTATGTTTTGAATGGGTTTGTGCTTTTTTATTTTTGTGTTTAATATTGATTAGCTCTTCTGACATAACATAAACGTGAGTTCATTAAGTACAAATTAGGAATTGACATAAACAGAGTAGATGGGTATGTCCAGAGTGCCCAGTCAAGGGTTTTATTTGTATTGTAAGGTGGCTCTCATGAATTTTAATGAAACTAAATTAAGAATTAAAATTATTCCACTTAAAAGCGAGTTGGAAATAGGCAGAACAGTTAAGTGCACACATGCAGCAGAACATTAAACTCTTGATTTTGGTATTCTTTAAATCACTGGACTGTGGTTATTTTAGGAAAATGATTCTATCTCTGTTTCTTTTCCTTCAGCCAGACTTATAAACAGAATGGTATTAAACAGAAATGGAGTTTTTTTCAAGTTGAAAAATCCTTAGATTGTTCCTTAGAGCTCTTGATAAAAAATAACAGGTCTCATAAATTTTTTGTGACTCTTCTGTTGAAAGGCAGAGTGCTTTTACCTTTCTGAGGCTTGATGGTGTCTGATAAATAGATTTGCTGGATAAGTTGTTGACTTGAAGTTTGGCATTTTTTGCCTTTTTTTTATAAAGAATGAGCTAAAAGCCAAACAAAGGCGAAATGGGTGTTGTTTCTAAAGCCTTTTAAGAAGTGTCTTTCCTTCCAGATACAGGTTTCAGCATCATATGTGATGTCCATGTCAGGCTGCAGGGCTGGCACTGCCTCTGTCCTTGCTCTGAGGTGTGGCAGTAGCAGCTGCCTGAGGACCAGGATAAAAACTGAGAAAATAAAAAAAAATCCAGTGACATTTCCCAAATTCTCACCCTGCTTCCATCAAATCATATTTCAGGGACATAATGAAAGAGGAGGTGGTGAATAATCTTTTTGGATCAATCAAAGGGTTGTTCTGGGTTTGAGCACTGATGATGACGTGGGGGCTGTGCTGGGAAGCTGCTCCCATGCTGGTCATCGAGGGGAGAGGCACAAAGCCCCAAATTTCCTCACAAAAGTAAAGGCTCAGTGCTGCTGAGAGCAATGAGTGCAGAAGGCTCATGCTAGAGAATCATTTTAAATATTTACTAGCCAGCCATTTCCTCTAAAATGAACACAAAGACAAGGTGCATGCAGTTAGCTGTTGCTCCAATCTGTTAGTTCATGGACATGAGAATGAGAGACCAGATTCTTTTAGCTTTGTAGAATCTTTATCTGCCCCCCAACTTTGAAGCTTTTCCATTTGATTAGAGAGTGAAGTGGTGAATATTTTTGAAGAGAATGAAGAAGTGTAGCATTGAATAAACCCTAACTCTTTTAAGCAACTTTTTTCATTTTTTTGGTGTAGAATGTGATATGGAGAGGAGTTATGTAAAGGGAAGTCCAGCTGACTTTGTGCTGCACTCTTTAGTTTTCCAAAGGATTAAGCAACTGTTTGCCTAAGCTGCAGTTATTTGTTAGATTGCCTTTTTTCCTGAGATAACAGAATAGATGGGTTAGGAAAGCAAATTTGCAAATCACTTCTGTGGCCTAATTTAATTGAACTTGTGAAATGCACGGTAGTGAAAAATAGCTAACAAGGAATTGACTTTTATTCCTCTAGACACTGGAAGCCATTCTGAACTTCAAGTACTCTGGTGGGCCAGGACATGCTGAAGGATACTACAGGAACCTTGCCCTGGGTCTCCACGTGGAGGTGGAGCCCTCTGTTTTCTTCACTCGCATCAGTACCCTGCCAGCCACAAGGTGAGCCTTGCCCTGGCTCTTGAATTTTCACTCATTGTCTCTGTTCCATTGAATATAACTTAAAGACCATATTGGAAACATTTTTAGTATCATCAGTAGCATGTAGGTAAAGAATGATGTGAAGAAATTTTCAAAATTGCTCATTTAGGAGTTTACTGAAGTAATTCATGGGCATTCAGCAGCTTCTGAGGTTCAGATGTTTTCTCATGATGATGTATTTTAGCAGGGCCTGGAAATCTCATGTTTATTGTACAATTTGATGACTTTTTCTGTATCTCTTAGCAGTTGTGGTGTGTTGTGTATAACAGAGTTGGGAGTTTTTATAACAGAATCTTACTGAAAATGCAGGTGTGAATAATGTGACAAATAAATTGTGACCAGACTCTCCTCTGGTGTTTGTTTTCTCCTGGAAACCACAGAGTAGTTTCACATGCCATAGTGAATATTAAAATCAAGGCAACACTTGATGGTGGTCAAATGCTGTGATAATGAAAATCTTTTTGAATAAAATTTATCAGCCACTGAATGCAATCAGTTTTAATAATTAGTAGGATTATTGTAAAAAACCCTCTTTGCACAATGGGAGCAAGAATTTGGTTTGATTGAATTCTGAGATTATTTCAGTGCAGTTATGTATGCAACACCAATAATAATAATAGTTGAGAGGGAACTTAATTGATCCAAGAAATTCCTGCTGGGCCTGGGACCCTTTCATGAAAAACTTCAGAAATTTAAAGATGGACAAGAAGGAAATGCCAGTCTAGGAGATACTGGGTGAATATTTCATTTTCAAAGGAAAGAACTGAGTCCCCAGTATCATACCATGGCAGAAATGTCCAAAGGTATATGGACAGCCTGTGGCAGCAACATAGCCTGAAAAATAGGGCTATGAGCAGAAGAATTAAAGCATCAGGGAAAGTTTTTAGGCTTGAACACGCAGAAAAGTTGTGAGAGTCTGGAGCAAGAAGAGTGGTAAGATGGGATTTTTGCTAAAACATATGTTTAAAGCAACTTCTGCTCCTGCTGAAGGGAAGATGACTGACAAGGGGGTTGAGTTTTTAATCATGACACTGCCAAGAGGGATGGGATCCTGTTCTTCCCCACAGGGGATACAGCAAATAATGACCTTTGCAGATAGCAAGGGAATTTTAAGTTAGGGAAAGGTACTGAAACTCTGCAATAGTTTTTTTTTAAGAAAATGTTCAAAAATGAGACAAACAAGATTATTTTTAATGAGTCATTTGTGTCCAGCTCTTATGAAACCATATGGTTCTATTGGTAAGCAAATTTCTTGAGCATTTTGCTGCTTGAAAGTGTAACATAACATGGTTTTATTATTTTAGAAATTGCTCAAGTAAAGCAAATCTGATGCTGCTTGGCAAAGTCAGAACACAGTATCCAGAACAACTGTTTGCAAAATTCTGGGCCCCTTTTTAATGATGTTCAGTTTCATCCCTGCAATGGCACATTCTTCAGCCTTTGAAAGGTTTTCAAGAGTGAATAAGTGATCTCTCTTGAACAACCTGGAAGTACCACAGCATCAGCTAAAAATAGTTTTCAAGAAGACTCATTATAGAGGTTAAAATAACCAGATTTCATTTATTATTTGAATGCCTAGTTCCCTCCATTCAGTGTCAAAAAAGCTCTCCATACTGTCAAAATGTATATTTTTAGTGGACAGACTGCTCTGTGGTTCACTGCAACTCCTTATAGGGTGGATTGGGAGTGAAGCTGCAAACCTTCCACGAAAGCTTCAAATGCAACCTGATGCTTTTATTTGACTCTCCCTTGTTGGGATTTTGGCTTTTTGTGCTTGGCTTCCCCAGCTGTGTTTTGTGTAGGCCAAAGTTATCCCACCTCTGCCTTGTCAATCTGCTCTCTGGAGTTCTTGATGTGGGGCAGGCATTTAATCCTGAAATCCTTACACACAGAGGTAATTCAGAGTTTCTGGGTTAGCAGGACAGTTCCCCTCATCATGTGGCAGCTGGTGCTGTGTTTAGTGGCTCCAGTTCATCTCACCTCGTGTTTCCCTCCTCCTTTGCTTGTTCACAACTCAGATCAGTTAAGTCATGGAAACTTTCTGTGATTTCATGGTTGGAGATGTAGTTAAAGATGTGGCTGCTTTTCAGGGTGCTTAAAAGCTTTACTGAGTTAGAGAAAAAAACTGTAATATTTACAGGGCTCTCAGAAATGTTTTCTTGCCAGACCTGTCATAGAGGAAACAAAATTTGCTTTTTATTGTTGATAATCTCTGCCAATATCTGAGACACAATGACAGCAAATTATAATTATGTTTTTTTTACTTTTACTTGCTCTTGTAAAAACTCAAATCTGATTTCCTTTTGGTTTACAACTGAGACTTCATTGCTTAAGTACTGTCTGAGGTGCTGAGCTATTTTTGTTTAGTCATTACAAGAAATTGTATTTTATAATTTGCCTCCTTAGCTGTCATTTCAGAATGGAAGTTATCATTGCTTTCATTATCTGGATTAATTTTTTTCCTTTCCTTTTTCATTTTATTGTTTTTATTTTACATTTTTGCCTCCACAAAAGTAAGAAACATTAGCTTACTAACTCCTGGGCTTAAAAAGTCAAATCAAACTAAAAAGACTGAGCATTGATTCTTCCCTTAGGCCTTTAGTGAAAAAACCTCAGGAAAAATGTTAATGAAAATACTTCTCCCCCCATTGTAGCATAAAGATTATGGTTTATGCAGAAGTCTTCCAAACTTAATTGGTATTTCTTCTATTTAGCTTCTGGAGCAGAAGTGCATGGGAAATATCACTGAAATAACTGGGGATTTGGGCTTGGCTTTTGTTTTTTAAATATCTAAGCAAAATTATATCTTCCACTCATGCACAAGTTCTGCCTCATGGGGAGAAGCTTCATTAACCACACCTCAAATATATCTTCAGTTATTTAGTCATGACAACAGATCCTTTTAACCTTTGTCTGTTCTGCTCTGGGGGGTGGAAATGGGGTGGATGCAGCCCTTGGGACACTGCAGTGCCTGGGTCACATCTCTGCTCTGCCCCCACCCAATTCTGGTTCAGATCTCTGCTCTGCTCACTCTCAGTTCTGGTCCAGATCTCTGCTCTTCCAACACCCAATTCTGCTTAACATCTCTGCTCTGCCCACACCCAATTCTGGTCCAGATCTCTGCTCTGCCCACACCCAATTCTGGTCCAGATCTCTGCTCTGCTCACTCTCAGTTCTGATCCAGATCTCTGCTCTTCCAACACCCAATTCTGGTCCAGATCTCTGCTCTGCTCACTCTCAATTCTGGTCCAGATCTCTGCTCTGCTCACTCTCAGTTCTGATCCAGATCTCTGCTCTTCCAACACCCAATTCTGGTCTAGATCTCTGCTCTGCTCACTCTCAATTCTGGTCCAGATCTCTGCTCTTCCAACACCCAGTTCTGGTCCAGATCTCTGCTCTTCCAACACTCAATTCTGATTCAAATCTCTCCTCTTTCACCACCCAATTCTGGTCCAGATCTCTGCTCTTCCAACACCCAATTCTGGTTCAGATCTCTGCTCTGCCCACACCCACTTCTGGTCCAGATCTCTGCTCTGCCCACACCCACTTCTGGTCCAGATCTCTGCTCTGCTCACTCTCAGTTCTGGTCCAGATCTCTGCTCTTCCAACACCCAGTTCTGGGTCAGATCTCAGCCCTGCTGTTGGTACAGAGGATGCTGTGTCAGTGAAGAACTGACAGAACATCCTAGAGGAGCCCCTCATCTGCTCCCAGGTCCTTCCCTAGGTGTCACCCATGCTCCCTCCGCTGCCTGCACCCAAAGGGGCTCGCAGAGCAGCCTTGTGCTGGGAAATATCCCTCTGAGCATGTTCCCTCTGATCCTTGGCTCTGCTTGCTGGTGTGTGCAGGCAGGGGAGCGTCCCAGGAGCATCATCAGGAATGCCCTGGAATGGGGTATAAGGGATAAGGAATTAATGTTGAAAGTTCTCCCACTCTGTCCTGCACCTCAATGAAATCTTGAAGAGCTTCAGGCATCTACTTGTTGAACCACTTATTTACCACAAAGTGCAGATACATCTATATAGTAAAATTGTCCTAATTATCTGCTGCCTTACCACATTAATTGATTGCACACCAGGGCTCAGCCCCAAACCCTGCTGTGCTCCCAGGCCTCCAGGCAGTGCAGTTCCCAGCAGGTTCCAGGCTGCCCCTGGGGATCCCATGGTCTAACCCTGAACTGCCACTGGAGATGGATTGCAGATGGTTCAGTGTAAGGAAACATTCTGTTGGTAGTTTTGGGTGACTCTTCTCCTCATTTTGGTATCCTGTTAGCTCTAAGTCTGCTGTTGAAACTTATCTAGGTTGTCTTGAACAATCTTCTTTATATCTGTTGTTTCTCTCAGGTGTGTTATCTGCCAGTTTTCATAGGCACTGAATGTCCTTCCTTATTGCCTTTATAAAAGAGCATGAAAAATGCCAGAAAAAATACTGCAAGTCTGATAAGAATTCAAGTAATGTGCTCTGCCCACTGTGAGGTACCTGCTGGTCCCCTTGTGTCCCTTGCCACTGTGCCATCAGTACAAAGGTGTCTTAAACAAGAGCCTACAAAGGCCAGAAAAAGTTGATCTTGCTTACTACAAATGTGGTGAGACAGTCTGAATTTGTAGATGAAGTCAATCCTCAGGGATGGTGTCTTCACTTTTAAGTTAAATTGGGAATCCAGATATATAATAATACTCTTACCTGTAAATTCTACAAATTCAAGATGATAAGATTTTTAATATTTAAATTTTTTTTGTGGGGCAGAATACTTTCCTTTCTATCTTAAAGCCACCATACAACTGCTGAGACATCAGCTGCAGATCTCTTCTGGCAAGTGCTGAGCCTTAGACTCTGTTCTTGGGTTTAAATCTGGTCTGACACTGTTAAATTCAAAGTGCCAGTTCATCTAACTGTAGGTCCAAGGTAATTGTCCATTGTGTCATTAATGTACATCCTTAGATGAAATGATTTGGTTTTGTTC